TGAAGCAGCACTAATGTTATTGGGAGCGTGTCTAAAGGCAGAATTCAGGCCCCATCCCAGACCTGCTGCTGATCAGGAGTCTGAGTTTCACAAGGTCCCCGGTGATTGCATGAGCATTGAAGTTTGAGGAGCCTCACCCTAGAACGTGCCTGCCATCTTCTAACAGAAGTAGGAGCAAGAAAAACGCCTTTGCAGAGCACACAGAAATGAAGGAAGGTTTATTTCAAATTCCCATTGACTGCAGCTTGCAGGTCTGACATGGAGTTGTTAACGAGGCTTCCATTCATGCCCCGCTGGTTTTTGGATCACGCAGGAGAAGCGTCACAGGACACAGCTCGCATCCCTCGCAGTAGCATCGCTCATGGCTTTCATTCCACTGTGCTGCACCTCAGTTATTCCCCAAACCGTCAGAGGGTGGGCCACCTGGATGGACTGTTATCCAATCAGCCCCAACCCAGCCCTGTTCATCGGTTTGTCCACCTTGTTTCCTGCTAGTGTCAGGGCCACATCGAGGTGCAGTGCCCACACGATGATGCTGTGCATTCCGAGCCTGGCCTCCGCTAGGCCTGTGCGGCTGCTGGGGGCAGGCTGGGTGCTGCGGGCGCAGGCGAGGAATACACTCTCCCTGCTCTCTGGGAACCTGTATCAGAAGTACATCGAGTCACCTGGAGCCAGAGCGGGAAGGGATCTTAGTGCAGGCACATCAAGACCCACCCTCTCATTTTCTAGATGAGAGGCCCCGAGAGGGAAGGCCTTGTCTAGGGTGGATATTTGCATGACTGTATGAGTACAGTGTTCGGTGTTTTCTGATTAAAATGCTGCTCAGCCTAGTCGGTTTGGCTCAGTGGATAGAGCATCGGCCTGCAGACTGAAGGGTCCCAGGTTCCACTCTGGTCAAGGACACATGCCTGGGTTGCGGGCTCGATCCCAGTTAGGGGCCATGTAAGAGACGGCTGATCAAGGACTCTCTCTCATCATTGATGTTTCTATCTCTCTCCCTCTCCCTTCATCCCTGAAATCAATACAAATATATAAACACAAGTAAATAAATAAAACACTGCTCAGACCTGGAAGGTGGTCTGATCCCTATATCTCCTTCTACTGTACCTCTCTCGTGCTGCCAGTGTCCTTAACCTTGCCTCCCCCCCCGCCCCCGCCCCACCCAGCAAGGTGCACAGTCAGGGAGTCCAAAGCAGGGGGGACAAAGAAGGGCACTAGGGACTTCCCTCAGGACCCAAACACTCCACGAGCTGCCATGATGAGAGGGCACATCCTGTGATGGAGCAGGAGCAGATAGTGGCTGTTTTCAGAGAAATGCTGAGCTATTTCTCCCTTTAAGTGAAATGTCCGAACTTGTCTTGCTTTGTGCCTGACTCACCAGTAGTCTCAGGAAGCGATGCCCAGGCGCCCCAGCCTCCTCCTCTGAGCCATTCATTCCCCAGCAAGCCGGCCGACATGCCCAGGCTTCCCCAAACCCAGTGCGGCTCATCGCCCTCTGGTCTCTTGAGAGGTGTTCATTTGAATTAGAAAGTCTAATTGAGGATCAGCTGTTGTACAGGGAGAACAAGTACCTCCTGGGCATGAGGGGTTTGTGTGGACACACACACACACACACACACACACAGTCCACCTTATTTGATTAACAAGGCACTTGTGTCATGTAAAAGCCTCACTGCACTGTAGCCATCTTCCCACCTCAAACCTCAGACTCCCTCAGAGTAAGGGGGGTTTAATGTCCACACAGAAGTCAGTTGGACCAGAAACCAGGAGGTCTGGCTCCTAGTCCCAGCTTGGTCGGCAGCAGCATTTCCTCTCTGGCTTCAGGGTCCAGGCCTATAAAACAAGAGTTCGGGGGAGGGGGTTGAAGGAGTGTTGAAGCTCCCTCTGGTCTTAAAGCCCCAGGAATTCCTCAATAGCGAGATAGTGGTGGGCTCCAGGATAAGAGGAGGGAAGGAGAGGTTGGGGGTGGGGGTTACCTTCAGAACAAGGCAGGATGAGTTGGGGAAGCTGTTGGATGTGCAGGCCTCTGCAACACCACTTCCTGTGGTAGATTAGGGACCTGGAGCCCAGCTGCAGGACTTGGGGGGGGCGGGGGCGTCAG